GAATATATGCAGTGTGTTATTTGTTGAAAAAAAAAATAATTGAGGAATATAAAGGAATTAAGACCTGACATATGCTACAACATGGCTGAACCTCAAATGCTACTAAGTGAAAGAATCATATGTACAAGTACACATAGTGTAGCTTCCATTTGTATGAAAAGTCCAGAATAGCAGATCAATAGAAGAGGAATGTACATGAGTGGTGGGCAGGGACAGTGGGGAAGAGGGAGGGGAGGGGATGCCTACGAAGGGGGGCAGGGTTATTTCCCGGGGTGACGAAAATATCCTCGAATTAAGTAGTAGACCAAATTAAACAGGGAGGAAACATGTACGCTATATAGTTATGAACATATGAGCTATATGTACGTAAAAGCACAGATTTTCAATTTCCCAATTTGTCATGTCAAAATCCTTTTTAATTTAAGCTAGTTTAGAAGTGCATATTCTGGCACATTACCTGGAGGTATTAGCTGTATTAATTCAAACCTGGTTAGGAAACCTAAAAAGGAAACAAAAATAAGATTTTAATGCCTAAGAAAATTGCCACAGTTTTTGATTAGAGCATAAGTTTCATAGGCTACAACAGCACCCCATTTCTACGACTATTAATAGTAATATCACAATCAACACTATCTATCTTCACAAGTTCTACCATCCTTATTCAGCCAATTACAGAAAGAAAATATATTAAGTTATATTTGAACTGAATGTGTGCAGATTTTTTCTTGTCATCATTCAACAACACAGAAAAATTACTTATGTAACATTGACGTTTCATTAGGCATTATAAGTACTCTAAAGATGATTTAAAGCATATGAAAAATACCATATGGATAGATTATAAGCAGACACTACATCATTTTATACAAGGCCTTGAGCACTGTGGATTTTGGTACTGCAGAGATCCTGGTACCAGTTTCCCATGGGTACTGTCGGGCAACTATAATTAAAATAAGTGCCATATCAACAATGACTCAGGTATCCATAAGGCGAAGGTGTGGAATGACAGGAAGTGAGTTATAAAAATAGCACTGCAGAGCCAGCAAGATAGCTCAGTGGACTAAGCGCCTGCTTAGGCAAGCTCAGGGACCAGGGCTGCACTAGCCCCACCCCTGAGCCTTCGACCGAGTCCGGGCATGGTGGTACACGCTTGTAATCCCAGTGCTGGGGAGGTTGAAAACAGGAGGATCACTACGAGTCTGAGCTGCATAGTGAGTCCCTGTTTTAAAATACAGAAAAAAAAAGACAACAAAAGCAGAATTTTATTAAACACAGGAGAATAAGAGGTATACAGTAGTAGTCTTTCAGTTATTCTTTTGTGTTCAGCAGCAGAATATTTCCATCAGCACACTCTACAGATGGACTTCTCTTCCACCCTATGGGTTATGATTCCACCTGAGTCTTACAGGGTGGATTTCAAAGAAATAGCTGTAGCTCAGTACCACAAGTGATGCCTAGCCACCAATAATTGTCACGGTCATTATGCATGTCCACAACACACTAGAACTTTGTGCGATATCCTATCCTCAAACTGTTAGAAGTGCTGGTCATTTACTTGCCATTCCAGTATTTATCTTATGTTTTACTCTTAGTACTTCTTTGCTATCATGAAAACTTTCTCTTAGTTCAATTGTTTTGAAACATTTAATTTTTAATTGAATAGTATTTAATTTTCTGAATATTGCTTAATCTTAATTTTTGTTCTAAGATTTATACTATCTTTGACTTACAATTTATTTAAAAGACATTGTATGATATCTTCTAGTATTAGAAACTTTAAAAAGTACATTTCCAGTTTCTGTTGACTTTATATTACTTCTTCCCTGTCTTTTATACACACATACACACACATATATGGAAAAAAAATACGTGTATAACCCAACACAAGATTGGTACTGTTTCACAGAAATCTGCAATGACCTTTAAATAAGGGTTCATCTAATATATCTTTTATATAGTCCTGCATAACTATCATATTGAGAGCTCTTTATTGTTCATCCAGGAGCAGACTGCAACTTCTCTTGCGTTTTGAATTATGCTCTTTGTTATTTCCTATATGCTACTTCTGGAGGTATTAAAATATTTCAAGTTTGTATAACTAGAAAATCTTACTTTTAGTTTTCAAAGGTATGTTTGCTAAGTATAAAATTCAAATAGAACAGATCTTTTCTTTCAGTCCTTTACTTAATCTAGTTTCTTACACCCTTGGTCCTTTTTTTTTTCTAATGTGGAATAAGATGCTATTTAATTTTGTTCTTCCATAGCTAATATTTTTATGTATATGCTTTAATGATTTTTTTCTTTAAAAAAAAAAAGCAAAATTTTCACTCAAAAACCATGTAAGTGTGTGAAAGGGGAAAAAAAAAGTTAAAAGCCAAGATGGCCTGAAATTCTAGGCTTTCACAATGGGAGGAGGGAGCTGGGATGATCAAGGCTTAGCAGCACAGTACCTTCCTGCAAGCACAAGGCCCTGAGTTCATTTCCCAGCACCAAAAGAAAAGCTAGGAGAAAGTAGACCTATTTACCATTACCCCAATGGTGACATTAAGTACTAAGTTTGTTTCAGGCTCTAAATTTCTTATATGAGACTAATTCTCAGCACAACCCGACGAGTTGAATATAAGAGCTATCCTCATTGCTATGAATAAGGAAATTAAATCTCAAAGAAAAAAATGCATCATAATGTCACACAACTAATAGGAACAGAGTTCCATTTGAACTTAAGTATTCCCCTAAGGCTTGGTCCCTGATCCACAAAATATCCCACTGAAAAACCCCGCTCCTCCATGCTGGGCATGGTGGTGTATACCTGTAATTCAGCACTCAAGAGACTGAGGCAAGAGGATCGCTGTAAATTTGAAGCCAGCCTAGGCTGTAAAGTGAGTTCAAGGCCAGCCTGAACTGCATGGTGGAGACTTGTCTCAAAAAGACAAAAAATAAATAAATAAATCTCATTCTTCCATGGAATAAGTTAATTAGGATGCCTTATGAAATACCTACAGCTTTTAATTGCCTGCTGGGATGGCATTTCATACTTGTTTTAAATATCAAGGACAGAGTCTTGATATTTTAAGATACTATCACTTCTAATATTATTTTGTAGATATTATAACAGATCTCAGAACAGGTTTTTTCCCCCCCATATTCTTTTTTCTGCTCCAGTCTACTATCCAAGATTTACTATTTGGAAACTGAAATAAAAAGATACTGATTCTTATATGTCCATTTGAAAATATTAAAATTTTCTTTTGAATTTAAAGAGGTATGAGGGAACTGGTGCCCTGCCAGAAGTGATCCATCTCAAACAGACATTTCCTCTTCCTGCTTCTTAATTTTCAAATGCAAAGGTAAATGCAGTACAGGGGGTATTACGTCTCCTTTTTTAAAGCTAAATTTCAAAGGGATCATTTTTGTGGCATATGCTTTATATTCACTTGCCTTCAGATCTGCCTGGAACACAGTTTTAGTGCCTGATAATCTATACAGACATATAAATATATAGATACACACATAAGATAGGTAAGATAACTGTACTACTAATTTATATTAGCTCATTGAAAAGAACAGTGTTTATATTGTTTGATCATTTTACATGCCCACATCTTGTAATCTGAGCAACTACTTTGAAGGTAACAATATGCAGTGTAACATCCATTGTTAATTTCCTATCATCTTGTTTTGAAATTCTGTATCATTTTTATTGGGCTTTTTTCTCTTTTTAAAGTAAAAAGAAAATAGAAAAAAAGAAATATATTGGATCCAAATAATTTAGAAATATATTTGATCCTAATAAACAGCTTATGGTAGAGTTTGTTTTGCTTTTGTTTGTTGCAGTACTGGAGATTGAACCTAAGACCTTCACACTAAACTATAATTTTGTTTGTTTGTTTCGGAACTGGGGATTGAACTCAGGCCCTTGTGCTTGCCAGGCAAGCGCTTATTCCACTGAGCCAGCTCCCCGGCCCCAATTCTTTTTTAAAACAAAAACAACAACAACAACTATATATATATATATATATATATATATATATATAATATCTTGATCTCTTTATTAGTTTTTATTTGGAGACAGGGTTTTGCCAAGTCACTAAGTTGCCCCAGCTGGACTTGAACTTGCCACCTTCCTGCCATGGCCTCCCAGAATACTGAGATTCCGGCCATGGACCACCACACATGGCGCTGCAGAGAGCTTTTGAGACCATTCCTTCATAGACTTCTCTTTATCAGTACCGCCCCATGTTGCTCAGGTTCTTTGTAGGCTTTTCTGTGATCACTCCCTAGATCATCTCATTCATTTGAAACTTAATTAAAATACACACACTGAAGAGTCTAATATCTTTTGATAAACCACATCTATTTTTTTCAGAGCTTCAGTTATGTTCTGCATTACTGCAGATCTCCCACTGCTACTAGAAATTCAACCTGTCCAAAGTTAAACTCTTCCCATACTTATCACTTTCTGAATTCTGTCTCAGTGGATAGCACGAAGAGCAGCCAGGTTTTCTCTACATGCTGCAAATTAAGGTCATGATCACACTCCAGCAATCCATCAAAGACCTACTGGCTATCTGTGACTCTTCCACCGTACCTTTGATTCCTATAGTTGTTCTACTTTCTTGTATCTCCCTGGCTTTCTGAGCCATTTTCTTACTGTTCCACCTTTCTGGTCCTGAACACCTACTCAAGAGACCACCTACATTATCTGTAGTGATGGAATCAATACTTGCCAAATTTCAAATATCTTAATATACTTGGTATACCAAGTCTTCACAGGAAGCAGCTGAAGCTGGAAATCGATCACACATATAGGGCTAGGACAAAGACAGCAGGAGGATACAGGGAGCTCCTTGAGCCATGTAAACAAGCAGTTCCAGCTTACAAGCTGGTTACTAGGCAGAGAGGGTGAAATAGACATCAACCTCCTTAGTATATAAATAAATGTGCTACAGTTCTTGGGCAGTTCCTATTCTCCCCTTTGGAAAGAGACCTCCACCTAACCTCAGCTCTCCTCTCTTGTCTTTATTTTATAAATCCCTTCACAGTTTTCCCCAGGTCCACCCAGAGCTGTGTGGGTTGCAGCAGATATATCAGCCCAGTACCTAGCCTGATCCTGATTCTATTTTTTTAAATTTTTTATTCATTTTAATGAGAAAAAATAGCAATGAAACAGTTTCAAAACAGGTTAGTAGGACAGTTATAATGAATAATACATTGCATATTGTTGTCTTCATAGTGGTTATTCAGAGGACAAAATGCAGACATTATATCAGATTCTATTCTTTATCCAGTACCCAGACACCTAGGTTACCAGTTACCTAGAACTTGCTGCTGATTCTTATTATATAGTTTGTATGTGAGTTTGGGCCTAATTCTTTCAGTTGAGTAAAAACTCAGTTAAAGAATTCTTAAAGGTGAAGCATGTGATTAATATTCACACTGCCTACTGGGTATGGTGACACACACCTATAACCATACTCAGGAGGCTGAGGCAGGAGCATTTCTTTGAGTTTAAGGCCAGTAAAGACTACATAGTGAGCCTAAGGCTAATGTGAACTGCATAGAAAGACCCTGTCTCAAAAAATAAAATAAAAAAGAGAAAAAAATTACAATATCATCTAAACCTTTACCTAACCTTTTACTTTTTCACAGGTAAAAAAGAGTAAAGTACACCTAAACCATATAGAAAGAAGAAAATAAGCAAAGATTAATGAATAGAAATTAGTCACAAAAGATCACACACTGAGTAAGTCCAGTTATTTAACCATGCAGAACAAGCAAAAACAATCAAATGTAATAGAAATGACAATATTATTACCTTGGGAATGGGAACTTATCAGAAGAGACCATGAAAAACTCTGAAGTGATAAAAATGTTCTATATATTGATTTATAGGTTTCACTGATATATACATCCATCAAAATGCATCAAATTTATAAGTAAAAGCTGTGCATTTCACTGTACTTAAATTTTACCTCAATTTAAAATGCTTAAAATAAAGCAGTCACTAAATAAAAAATAACAGGCTGAATGTGATGGTGCACACCTATAATCCCAGCACTCAGGAGGCTAAAGGCAGGAGGAATGGCTTGAGGTCAAGGCTATCCTGTGTTACACAGTAAATTCCAGGCCAGCCTGAACTACAAAGTGAGACTGTCTCACAAGCCATATATATGTAGAGATAGCTATATAGATACATAGATATATATTCTACCAAAAAAGTATATACACGTCAGGAAAAGAAAAACATGTATGACTACTTAAATACTAAATTTTTATTGAGACATGAGATTAATACAAATTATCTTTGGCCTCTGCAATTATAAGAGGTGCTCAAAGTGATACCCATTAGTTTCCAGATATTTATTAGTATGGCAAACTTGGGTAACCTTTGAGATTGCTGCATGTCTATTTTCAATTTGTTCTCTAAAGGCCAGCAGTATAGGGGGTTTTATATGATATAATACAACCTCTAGGGTCCCCCATATGAGGGTAACAGCATCTGTTGAAAAATTATCATATTATTTTTCTTTTCCTGAGTGGGTATACATTTTTTGTGGACTGTGTTTCTGTGTCTGTTTCTAAGACATTAACTTAAAAAGAAAAATTACCTATATAAATGGAAACTCATCTCACATTTGTGATTGGAAGATCTAATGTTGTTAAGATCGCAATACAGCATATTCTCCGAATTGATCTACAGATTCAGTGCAATCCCTATTGATATTCTGGATGGATTCTTCACAGAAATTAATAAGCTGATTCTGAAGTTTGTATGGAAACTCAAGTGACCCCAAAAAGAAAAAACAAAAGTCTTACCAAAACACTAAATTGGAAGATTCATATTTTCTGATTTCAAAGCTTAGCACAAAAGCTACATTATGGGGCCAGGGAGATGGCTCAGCGGAATAAGCGCTTTCCTGGCAAGTGCAAGGGCCTGAGTTCAATACTTGGTTCCGAAAAAAAAAAAAAAAAGTACATTAATCAAGATTGTGTGCTAACAGACAATAATTTAGGGATTACTGGAATAGAACTGAAAGCCTAAAAGTAGACATAATAGTGAGCAGATTTTCAACAAGGGTGCCAGGATCATTCAATGGGAAGAAAGAGTATTCTATTATCAAATGATGCTAAGACAAATAGTCCTATACAAAGGAATGAAAATGGGCCTATCTTGTACCACTTACAAAACTCAACACAAGATAGATTATATACCAAAATATAAGAGTAAAGACTATAGAAAGCACAGATGTACATTTTTTTACTGATTAGAAAATGCTTTTTTTTTTTTTTTTTTT